GTTGGTTAGTAATTGCCCTGTAATCCTGCATTCCAGTGGCTTTAAAATTCCGATGGATTGTTGGATTTTACTCGGTAACCTTCGCGCCAAGCCCTTCTCCCCGCGTTTCCAGCCTCGTACCCAGGGCTTATATTTTTAGTGAAAAGCCCTGGGGACGAGGACTGCGTCTCCACAAATCACTTTTTAGAGTTCTTAGCAGTTCCCACGAAAACAGAAGCCCACTTGGTAATTAAGTGTACGCATTCGTAATATGACGCATAAAGAAAACCATCAAAACGTTTTAACACCGTTCATGTTTATTTTTGCTGACTATTTTGTGATTCCTGGCAGTCAATGAACACATGCGAGTGTCAGGATTGGTGATAATTCTTCACTCGCTTGCCAACCACAAAGAAAGGGCGTAAAGATGTAAATTTAGAGGAGCGTTTACTGTGGTGCAGTAACTATGGTGCGTTCTGCGATGCACGCACTTCTAGTTGCTTGCTTGTATCATGGGGTACCTCGGTGATGCTGAATCATTAATTGCTAAATGTTACTGGTCACTGGCAGGAGGTCAATGGACGCCGTTACTAATAATTGCCAGGAGAAACTGGAGACATTGTTTATGCAGAGTTCTGGAGGCAAACAATGTATATTATCCTCTCTTGGTGTTATGGGCAGATCTGCCACCAGCACTGGCCACCGGGTCAACTCTATGCGGGACGGGACGAGGACAGGACGTTACGAGGGTTAACCCGTTATGAGAGGAGACTGAGTGTTAGCAAGGCCACGAACGCACAGCCTGCTGGGTATTCTCTATCACTGACGTGGCGAGCGCCTTGCTTACAAAAGAAACATGGCGGTCTTAGCGTGGTTTGTAGTGGTAGTTTATGTATTATTGCCGGTAGATTTTACCCATGGTCTTTATTTTCATATGGGAGAAACCGAAAAGAAGTGCTTTATTGAAGAAATACCGGATGAAACCATGGTCACTGGTGAGTTTTTTACCATGCTTTTAACTCTCGGAGTAAACTTTTTCGAATGCACATTTCCTAAAAGTTAACCTCATGATTTCAGTAATGAGACGTGCTCTGAAGCTAGAAATTTAGCAAAAACTTTTAGCTTGCCCTCTATCCTTTACATAACTTATCAAAGGTTTTTTTAATACGGTCATGTATAGCAAGCCATACATTAGTATTTATATTGTATCCCTGCCACCCCACAAAACCTTGCAAATCTGGAGATATTGAAAAAGAGCATCCCAAAACCTGGAGATTGGGTCCTCGCACTCTGATATTTCTAAATGTGTGTAAGATGAAGATGGAAAAGGCAGATTTTTAAGATACCATAGGACAAATTTTATCTCCTGGTATCACCATATCAATTGACTTTACCTTATAATATTGCTCACTATTGTAGTTTTTTGCTGCTTTTTTCGCAGAGGTGACTGCAGTGAGTAGCCATTTTGAGTTAACTGTTCACAGATTAAGCCTTCCCACAGACTTAGGGTGCTTTCCATTTAGGTAAAAAATCGGGAAATTTCAGTGGGGACGAAAATGGATTTTCCGATAGGTAAAAAGTTGTTCCATCTGATTGTAAACCCCCGGGGGGGGGCACTTGGGTATTTTTTGGGTGGGTATGTGCCGCCCGGGACTCCAAATTGGTACCCCGTTCAAAAAAAAATTTCCCCTAAAATTGATACCCCGTTCTAGAATTCGCCCTAAAACTGATACCCCGTTCTAGAAATGGGCCAATTTTTATACTCTGTTCTAAGGTGCAAAGAGTACAACAGTTTGCTCGTTAACGCATTGAACTGTATTTTTAAAAGCAATCTGTTCTTGAATAATTTCAAATGGCTGCTTACAAAACGGGAGCTTTCGTGCGTTCGAAATATTATACCCCGTTCTAGAAAACGCTTCTGAAATGGATACCCCGTTCTAAATCAGGAGCTTCAAAATCACGACCCCGTTGGGCAGCACATACCCGCATAGGTAATGTATGGGAGTACCCCCCCCGGGTGTAAACCCCAGAACAGCTCTGAGCCCGTTGCCCGGTGGGACACCAAGATGGCTGCTGAGTTGGTAACAATTGAAACTGGTATAAAGTACAACAAACGTGTAAGTGGAACATGAAATTCCGTTCGAAAAGTTCCATCCGGGAAAACGGGCCTACCTTTTCAGATTTTCCACTTTTTCCTGGAATTTTCCAGTGGGACGAACAGACGAAACGTTTTCCATTTTCTACCGAACCAAAATTTCTGAAAATTTTAACTTAATGGAAAGCGCCCTTAAGCTCACCTTTGTTTCAGAAATGAAATTTTAACTGGGATGAAAATGCCGCTGTCGGCTCCGTATAAATTGGAATTTATGGCAAAAATAGCACTTGGGAAAAATTCATTGTTATTAACTTTTTCCCTTGAGGGACCATTGTTGAACAATACCTTGGTTAAAAACGCTTCAAAGAAAATAAAAGAAAATGTTTGAAAATAATGGAGGAGAGTTTGTTACTTTGCTGCTCAAACAGCCAAAATGCAAAAGTGAACAGATGTCTCTTTCACTACTCAAACAATAGATTGTCACTGTCCTCCTTTTCTGTCAGTGCTTTCTGAGAGGATTTTTAGGGCCTTGTAGGCCGACACTTCTATCCATTTCAAGGCCTCAGTTCTCACATATCAGAGAAGCCTTAAATTTTTGTGGGTATTATGGCCGAAAGATGCAGATCTGTCTCAGTTGTAAGCAACTAATTATGCTGTGTTTTCTCAATTCAATGCTGAGTCTTAACATAAAAAGCCCCAGGGATGTGAATGCTGTGCTATAGAAACAGTTGGAGGGAGCCTAGTGTTCTGAAACTTAAGAAATCCAGGGTTCCCAGCATATTGTTTTCTAGTTGCTAAGGGGCAAAAGTTGTTATCCAGTTGTCCTTTGGACAAGCACTATATTAAATTATATTAAATTTTATTGTTGGAAACCCAAGAGTTCTTGTCCAAAAAGTTTTGCTCAAAACTAAAAAACAAACCGGGCATTTAAGGTTTTAATCACATTATTAGCATTGTATTAATAATGTTCTTCAGTGACTTAAATGTTAATATAATATCATGCGCAATCTTAATACTAAAAAATGACTAATGTCTTAACAGGCCTGCTTACTAAGGCCAGAAAGACAAAGGAAATGGCCACAGAATGGCGAACTTAAAAGGAATATTTAACTTTATTTCATCCTGCATGCGGTTAATAGTAATTGCTTTTATGACTTATAAGATTAATCTTAATTCGACTGTAATTTGAAGTCAATTTTCAACTGTTCTGTATTTTTTTGATTAAAAATGTGCTTGTCCCATGGACAAGTCATGTCAAAGCTTTATATGTATGAACTAAATTTCTTCCTGTCCCAGACAATCGGACATAGGTTTTGGCGCACCCTGTCTTGACCATGGGACTCTGCTAGAACACAACCTTGTACCATAAAGGTGCCAAGATACATTGCTTTTAAGAGACTGGAATAATAACCCCTTCTTGAAAAACATTTGAACCTTATATCTGGGTTTTCCTTTAAACCAATGCACCTAATGGTCTGGAAATACTTATGGTTTTCAACAGGAAAATACAAGACACAACTTTATGATGAGAACATCGGAGATTTTCTTCCCTCTAGTCCTGGTATTGGCATGCATGTAGAAGTTAAAGATCCCAACATGAAAGTTATTTTGTCTAAATATTATGCATCTGAAGGCCGTTTCACCTTTACGTCACATTCACCTGGTGAACATCTTATTTGCCTGCACTCCAACTCCACTCGATGGTCCCTGTGGACTGGAGGAAAATTGGTGAGTAGGAAGAATTTCACTCGTGGTTGAGTATAGTGTACTTGGGGGCGTGGGATTAAGCCAAATTTTAAGCAAGGTTTTCTTGTCTAAGGACATGCAACTAGAACTTACAAAATACTATTGGGCCTTTACTCTGAGATATGGTAATGACAACACAAAATTAAGCAATACATAGGAAGGTAGCAGTTTGGTAACTTAACCATAACAGATGAATGTAAGTTTCAGTATCTGTCACTAAATAATCGTTGCACAACTGGTTTGTAAATACTGTAGAACCCCGTAAACTCTATCTCTGAAAAGAAATGAGAAAAACAGTTCTAATTAGTGGGAGTTCAAGTTATTGGGATGGAGTGAATATGTTACAAGTCAAAATTAAATAATTCAAATAATTCATGAATTTGGCCTGTAAGAAATATTCAATTTCCCATGTTCAAAATGGATAGTTACTGATCGCTCAGCACTCCAGTGTATAGTACAGTCCAAATTTAACTTATTTCATGAGAAATGGTCACATGATGCATTTTTATGATAAAATGTGATATTTTTGTTTCACTAGTGAAATTCAAATTGCTGTAATGTTAAGTTTTGTGTTTTTACCTGCTATACAACAATGGGAGCTAATGGGATGGGATGAGATGGCATCGGAGTCTGTTGGAAGAACCAGAATTTGAGCCAGAGGATAAATTTCAGTGACATTTTGATCAGGGGAATGTAAATTTACTTCAAGTTAGTGGAGAATTCGAGTTATCTGAGTTCGAGTTAACCACGTTAAAAAGTTACTGAAAAGTGGGGTGAAATCCAAACGAAATTAATAGGACTTAGTTTGAGTTAGTTGGGAGTTTGTGTTATCCGAGTTTGAGTTATCGGGGTTCAACCGTATGTATTTTTTTTCTCCACAGCGTATTCATTTGGATATCTCAGTTGGTGAACATGCTAATGATTACCAAGAGATTGCTGCAAAAGACAAACTAACTGAACTTCAGCTTCGCATCCGTCAGCTCTTAGACCAAGTAGAACAGATCAGCAAAGAACAAAATTATCAGAGGGTAGGTTGTATTACTTGACCTGAGAGATCTTTTTTTAGATAAATGCATGTTAAATCTTTTTATCCTTCCAGCAAATAAGTGGGTGAACTCGAAAATAATTTTATTACCCAGTTTGATTTGAAAGTTAGAACTCAAGGTTTAGCTTTGTGTATTAAAGGATTATCAAGTAGGAGAAACTTTGGCAACCGTAAATGACCTAATAAATGCCAGTAATTTTAGGGGTCCAATCAGGGGCATTTAAAGAAGCGAGAAGCTTTTACTCTCATAAAAGATATCAAGAGAATTTAAAAATAGCGGAATATCACTTAATCAATTTTTGATACATCTACGCCGTCGAGAGATCCATATCGCTTTTTCAATTCTAAACATCAATGTCAGAATCCTCGTTCAGGGTTATTGTGCTACCATTGTTAGTCTATCTTTACTTTGAACTTGCAATTGAACAAGATGAAGTATGAAATACCTTGTTTGTTGGAGTAATTCTCATAGGGGGCGTCAATTAGACAGGGGGCGTTTATTATAGAGAGGCGTCTAATACAATTTTATTCTGACAGAGGCTTTTATTTGGGGGTGGGTGTTCATTAGGTCATTTATGGTATAGGTGATACTTATAAACAAATCCTGTCTTTGGGATTATGTTTCTCTATTTTTGAGTCTTATTTACATGTCATTTCAGTTCCGTGAAGAGAGGTTTAGGCAAACAAGTGAAAGCACCAACCAGCGTGTTCTGTGGTGGGCTCTTGGACAAACTCTGATACTTTTGGTGACAGGATTCTGGCAGATGCGTCATCTCAAAGGATTTTTTGAAGCAAAGAAACTAGTTTAATAAAATTAACTGTTGGTAGGAATGCTTGACTGGGATGATGGCCCAGCTCTAGATTGTATGCCATGGTTTTCATGTGATTGTGGATGGTATTTTAGTGCTTAAAGATAAAAAGCACCTTGTGAAATCCTTTTGAACAAGATCTGGATTTAGAAACTCAAGTTATTATCATTTTTTACACTAGAATCCTGCTATTTCAAACAGGTCAAGTAACAGAGATTGTCTCTCTAGATATATCTGCATAATATAATATTGTAATCTGAAAATTACCACGTGCAAGTTGTACAGTAAATTGCTGGTGAAAATACTTAGATTACTGTGATGGAAATAACAAGATTCTTGTTGGATATGGATTTACAAGTTCTTATTTTATGGAAAGTTCTAGCTGCTCTAACCAGGTTAAAAAATGCTGTCTTCTGACTCAATGTCATCACTTTTTTAGTAGTACTACCAAAATCCTGAGGGCCTTTATTCCTTTGTACAGATTAGGGTTATTGTTTTTATTATTAAACCAACTATGTTCCCAGAGTGACTAAAGTGAATTTTCTCCCAACAATATTGATACATAATCACAAAAAAAGGTTACATGAATTAACAAAATAAGCAACTAAGGGAAATGCTTTGTTCTATAAACAAATTCTCTTAACTAATCTTTCCTGAAATACATGGAGATCAGTTTGGAGAATTTGTATCGGGATTTTGGGACTTTAAGGGTTAAATATCCCTTGAACTTGTAAATCTTGTGAGCAGAAAGCTAAATTATCAATAATTCTCTGAGTTTTTGTCAAATGACACCTTTTTAAAATGGACACTGTCTCATTTACATTGTTTTCACCAAGATATCTGACTTCAACTCTATATATATACCCAGGGGGGTACTGCGGATTTCAAGTGACGGGGATAATCCAATGGGGGCAAAAATCAAAACCCAAAATATGACCCTTTGTGCAGTACTTTATTTGCAGAACTGTGCAGCTGGGATACGCGGGCAGTACCACAAATCTTCAGATTGTTTTGAGTACCCCCCAAAAATCCCTACTTAAATCAAGCCACCCCAAAAAAGTACGTGCCAGATTTTCCTACCTCATAAAAATCCCGGAATCAAAAATTTTGAACCCCCAAAAATCCTTTGGTCATCCTCGTCTTTTGAAATCTGGAGTGCCCTCCATGGTTATATATATAATTCTGCAAGCTGCAGGAAGTCAAACTAAAGGTAGGAAAACTAAGAGTTCTTGCCATTTGCCAGAACAGGATGGCACGACCAATACTTTTGTATAGAGAATTTCACTGTTAATCAAGTTTGGAAAAAAAAAGAGCATATTGTATCTGATCTCCAAATTGACTTTCCTTATTTTCTATATTAATTTATTATTATTTAGTTTGACAAAATTGGTTCCACTCTGCCCGTTTTGTAGTTAACTGTCCGGTCATTTTGAATATGAACTAAAAAAAAAAAGCTTTTCGGGAAGATAAACTATCAGGATTAGCATTGTAAACATTTTTATTGATCTCAGTAAAATTAAAACCTCTTTTCTTTCGTTAAATTGAGCTGTCCAATAAAGGTTAAATGCTCTTTTATTGTGTTGTTGCTACCATGGAGGCCTTTCAGTTGGAAGTAGCCTGTTGTGGCAGTTTTGAAGTGTACTAAACCAGCCTCCTCCTCAGGCGCTTCGTTTTTCGCATGGCAGAGGCGAGCGCGAAACGAGTGACTGGTGATGAACCGCAAGGGACCATGGGAAGGGTACAGACGGCAGGCGAAGCGCGTTGTCTCCTTCCCGCCTTCCTTTGCGCGCACGTTTTAAAGAGAGACGTCTGGGTACGAGGCAGGGTAAGTTTTCCGTACTCGCCACCAAATCTCTTTCTTTGCATCGTCTCTTCCGGCAAACAAAAGAATAGGCCGTATGCAATATTCACAGCTGACCATCCTGTTTGGCGATCAGTTCAAGTAAAAAATTCTGCACTGTTCACCTCAACCATTCCAAACTCGATGCATTTCAAGCTATTTCATATGCCATCACTTCGCAAAGCGAAAAACTAATTTTAGCGCAATGCAAGGTACTTATGTATGATAAAATTTATATAAACTGTGCTGAAAAACGACAACAAGTGACTATTGCAACCCATTTAGGTGTTTTGTTCTCACGGAACCACCTTAACCGTACGAAAATTTAGACGCCTGGCAGTTACAATTTCCGTGTGAACAGAGCGAAAATGCTGAACAGTCCTGTGTGAACGAAGTGCCCTGTCAAATTTAAATTCAACTGTTCGAAAATTTGTCCGGTGCCTTGTTCCTCAAACTCGTGACGGCGACCGAGGAGAAAGGAGACAAAAGATTTTTAATAATACCGTAAATCCTCTATTAAGCCCACCACCTCAAATAAGCCCCCTCCCTCTAGTAAGCCCCCCCCCCCTTTTCAAGGGAAGAAAATTAAAAAGCGCCCCCTCTCTATTAAGCCCCCCATAGCTAATAAATGATAGACTGTATAAATCATTCACCATTGTTAAACTACGTGTGGACTGATCCAGGATAGTTTATTTACCAACTGGAAGTTCGGATTTGATTCTGATCCTCGGCTGCATGATCTCCAACCTTCGTGTACTTGAGCTTTTCCACTTTGCATTCTAGTTGTTTATGGAGAACTGATACGATCGTCTTTTCTAAATTAAATAATCCCCCGTCTCTATGAAGCCCCCTCCGAAATGGACTTGAAATAAATAAGCCCTCCGGGGGGCTTAATAGAGGAATTACAGTAAGACTCATGATTGTTTCCAGCTTTTTAAAAGGATAAAAGGAACAGAAAAAGGAATAAAACAATGTCTTTTATTGTGGAAAGTACGTGATTTTTTTTTCATCAAAGGGTACTTTTTTAATGAAACCCAATGTTCTGTGTTCTCATTTATAGCCAGTTGAACATTGCCTCGCAAACCCTCACCCGGGCTGAGTGAAAACACCGGCTGGCGCCGTTACATTTTTCTAAGTTTCTCCTTTCAATCAATTGGATAAATTTTGGTCGACACTATCGCTCATATGTTCGAATCTTTATTTCGGAGGCTATGCCGTTGTTTTTGGCAAGCAGGATGACACGTGTAAGCCCGAGAGAGAGCGAGGGTCGGAGAGGGTGGGTTGTGTGGATCATGGATGGCAGTACTAGGGACTTTTAGCATCGACGACAGCAACGGCAGCGAAAACGTCACTTTTAAAATGAATTGGCGTTTTTTTTTTTCAAACTTTGTCGCGTTTATTCCAGTTCGCTGAAAATGTCAAATGTAGGCAAATTTCCCTGGAGTTGATTTCTTGGGGCCGCACTCAAGTTTAGCCAGAAAGAAAATTTCGTATTGATGGTTTTCACAGTGACGTCATCAGACTGCAAAGTCAAAAAAGCGAGGTTTTACGATTTCTTATTTACACTAGGTTGAAGATAAGTAGGAAATAAACCTTTGTACAAGTTTCCAGCCGCGAGGCATGTTTCATTTCAAAAATACAGCAATTTGAACTTCCGAGTTTTCACAGTACGTGACACCAAAATAGGAATGCTGTCTCCTTGAAAAAAGCCTCTCCGCTTGATTTTCAGCAGTTTAACCCTTTCAAGTATTAGAAGACATTTTTATGCGCACGTATGCTAGTTCTCGAGTAAAAAGGTGGAGCTTTTATAGAAAAAGTGAACTCCAGATGTTTTTGTGGATTTCCGGCGGCCATATGGCGTCTCCATAGAAAGCTCTACAAAGGTGCGTGAAATGTTTCGGCAAATAACTCATAGTAGCGCAGATATGTGCTTGAATTGTTCACTTTCTGTTAAAAGCACGAAAATTGGCATGATGACAGTTTTCAAGGTGCTTAAAAAGATAGGATATGGTGCCATCGCCAAAACCACCGTTAAGGGTCATTTAAAGGGGAGTTTAAAAACGGCGGCCATTTTGAACCGGAAGTAAAAATGACACTTTCTAGAAAAATGTCTGTATATTAACAACTTGGCCAAAAAATGACCGGAAAGGCACAAGGTAACTGTATTTTCACATAAAAAGACACTATATTAACTAAATTTGTACAAAAATGATAAATTACAGTTTAAAAGATAGAAATTTAAAATGACCGCGAGTAGACCGGAAGTAAAAATACCATTGTCAAAACTATCGAAGAAATGGGTCCAAACTTCATTTTTGCTAGCTGGTGATCTTTAATTCTTTTACTCTGACAGTATACACATAATTTACTGTTTCTCTGGTCCAGATTCATTTCTAAACTTCAATCTTCTTGGACTATAATGCTGTATACGAATACTAAGAATAACAGGTATGTAATGTCTCATCGACTACTTACAAAATTTACTCTACCCTTCGTTCGGAGACCAGCGTTTATAATCGCAAAAGAGTCTTAGATTGTTGGCTTCAACGGTTTTCGCACTCTTCAGCACACTTGCACATAGCTGTACAACTTAGGCTAACCTTCTGACAACCACAGCCTCCTCTACAACCCTTCTTACAGCCGCACTTTACTAGCTCTTGGCATGACTTTGTTATTTCTGACAGTGTTGTCCAGAAAGGCCGCCACTCGCCACTTTCCAATATCCATCCCCAATCTTGTGGGCTAGGAATAGGTGGGTTTGGCACGAGGGCTTGTCCCCAGATGTGGCCAGCCTGGTATGCAGTACGCTTGACATGTTCTAGTAATGAATCTCGCGTCGGAGGAAGGGCGTCGAAATTTCGAGCCTTACGGGTAAACAACTGCTTTCTGGCTTCGTTTACAGATGAAGAACTGCTTGTTCTATCATAAAGTAAGACAACGAAGCGTTCAAGGGTTGACATCCACTCTTCGGCTATTTCTGTTTGAGCTCTGGACAAGGCGATAAACACAGGGGTGACTTCTGGAAAACTCTTCCAGGTGTCCAGCGCAGTCTTCTTGCTTTTCCCATAGAAACAGGACACCGTATCGCATCCCGTGAATGCGTGGAATGCAGGTAGGGCAAGTGCAGCGGTGTTATTAAATTTGTTGGCAATCTCGTGGGCTGCAAGGTAGCGAAGATGTTCCCCAGTACCAAATGCCACCCAGAGTTGGATGCTCTCTGAAGCAAGCGCCTGTAACTTCTGTACCAGAGCCACGGCCAGTACTAAGACATCAGTATCAACACTACGAACAATGATCTTGGTGAAGCCGAATTGGATAGCATCAGCAGCATGGATAAACATTCTTGTGTCGGCTTCTTCATGTGAGGATGGTGCCGGGCTGGAGGTGTCATCTCGTGGAAGGCTCGTCAGTACGCCTCTTGCATACGTAGAGATGATCTGTCTCTGACCCGAGTTAACAGAAGTAGCGCATTGCGCAAGGAATCTAAAGAGCTTCTGCTTGTTCCGATCTTCACGAAGGAATTCTTTCCAGTTTCTTGGAAGCTTATTATTAGCTGCGACTAGTTGTCGTACTCCTGATCCACGTTTGCTACGAGTTGTTGCTTTCAAGCTGTTCTCCACGTATTCGTCCCAGACAATATCAATGCGTTTCACATGTTGAAGCTGAGCGGTGACATAAGGAATAAACTTATTTGAGGCATATTCGGAAAATGTTTTCTCTTTCCCCGTGGGCTTAAGCATGTTTACCAGTGCTGCTCCGTCCATAATAATGACTTCACAATTGGCTGAGGCTGCATTCTTGGGAGTAGTTAGAGCTTGAAGACAAGAGGCTAACTCAGACTTTTGTCGAGGGAGGCGCAAATTTCCTTGATCAGATATCGATGGGGGGCATGCTTGATTTTCATGTTTAAAAAATTCATCCAAGTTACCATTTCTGCTCTGGCATGCAATAAACAGTCGTGAAAAAAGAGAACAGTCGCTTTTCATAGAGGAAAGCTGCTGTTGAGCCTTTGAAATTTTCTTCTTGGAAGGAGTTTCAAAGAAGGAGAGCTTGTTTCTACTAATAGGGTCATCGAGAGGCTTCGTCCGCTGTATTAGGCGCTCTGAAATGAACGTGTCACACTGCTTTACGTCAAGATCCTCTATTTGCTGCATTCTTGATACCCCTCCTTCGTCTGCCACCACCTTTGTATCTAACACGATCAGGTCTTTTCCCTCTTCTTCAAAAGGGTTCCCAAGGTCGTCAAGTACATCCACGAGTGACCTGACATCTTTGTGGTACGCTGCTTGATAACCCCTCTCAGCTTCATGATGGTTGTTTGTTTCAGGTCTAACTTCAGGTGACATGCATGCCTCGAACTCGTTGACTAGCCGTGCCATCTCAGGACCGGATAGCATCCACCTGCGAAGTGCGCTGGCATTCTCTGTCAGACCCACAGCCCCTCCGTCATCCTTGACCATAGCATTGTTCTGCTCGTGGGCCTGATCAATAGCTATACAAGAAAATCTTCGACGGGTTTTTGTGACGGTGAACAAACCCTGCTTGAATGCCTCTGCTACTGCTGGTGCCTTACTGTCGAGTTCGCGCATATCGCGTACATGTATAGGGAGCCAACGGACATAGTTGGTATGGTTTAAAGCAAAGAACCACGGAAGCATCTTGTAAACTGCATCTACGTACATGCCAAAGTCAGCAAGGCGGAGCGACTTTAGAAAAACAAGGAGAAGAAGCTCCAGTTGGAGGGCTGTATGCCAGTACCTTTTGAAAAACTACCCTCTTCAGCGTTGATATTTGGACCATACAGGATCATGTTAACAAAGGATAACAAGGATGCTGGGATAGAAGGCAGTTGACAGTCTCGTTCGAAGGACCCATTAAATGAATACTTATTTGTAAGTATGTCTTTACGGACAATCGCAGCTGCCTTCGCAAGGTGTATGGCCTCATCATCAGAATCTTCTTTATGGACCTTGTGAAGTGCATTCCCAACGTCCTCTCCAAATGCCAAATATACATCGCGTCCCTTATTGTAAGGTTGGAGATCAGGAACCTGAGCAATTATACGTTCTTTAAGGCGTGAACTGTTTGGTCTTGCAGTGTTCTCCATCCCTAGCTGCTGCAGGCGATTGGTATACATCTTCGCTAGGTCTGCTAGCTTAAATGTAGGTAGCTCTCCCCCGCTATTCGTGCGCGACTCCTCTATAAACGTCACGAGATCCGCCAAGGCAATACCTTCTAGACGATGTGGCTTTTCATCTCCTCGAACGGCTTCTCTTTTTGCATATTCTGTACTCCTGTACAGCATAGATAGACAAGAGGCGTGGTAGCTCGCCTCAAGAGCGATCAAATCCTCGCCACCAAGCTTAGCTAACAACTTTTCGTCATTCAGTACATTTGCGCATTCCCGAACTCTAGCATCGAGACTAAGGGTCGAAACCCTATGAAGTGGTTGTTTATCAGATTCGCATAAAAAACAAGATGGACTAGTGTCCTTTGTGTATGCCAATGCATTTGAGCGAGTAAACTTTCCGCCAGCTAGCGGCTCGTCTGGGGCTTCAGATTTTCTTTTTTGGGCTCGTTTCAGTTTTGTCGAGTTAAAAAGAGCATAGCAACTTTTGTGATAGCGGGCCCTATGTTTGAAGAATGCAGCCGCAATGCCGTCGCCTTCATCTAGTCGCGATAAATTTACGTCCTTGGGCATGTAACCCAGATCAGCAAACTGTTTCAAATTGTCTGCAAGTGTCTTATAGCCTGCACCTTTATCTGCTCGCCTTGAGTCCGCGGGGCACTGAAGTCCTTCCTTGTTTGATTCTTGGCAGATAACGCAGAGCTCCCAATCGGTCACATTACGATTGCAGTCATCCATGAGGCTGTTTGAAACAAAATAAAGTTATTTAAATTAGATAAAACTAATCGTTTCGCCACTTTAAAAGTACTTGTATCTAAAGAGTTAAAAGTTCATCTGTAGTAAGTCTGATTTAACATTCCTTACAAATCTGGAACTTTAATGCTAAAGTCCCTGGTTTGGTGGCGTATTCGTTATGAAAAAAAGGTAACACGTATCCAATTCTGAATTGAATATTTTTGGATTACGGTAACTGATGCGCTAAACATACGTTAAATACATAAGAACTGTGATATGGGGACGCATGAATACGGAAAACGTACCCCAGTGTAAACGTACTCTAATTGTTCTCAATACTTACAGTTGATAAGGGCTTCTATTCCATGACTCCGTGCAACAGAGAACGCTCAAGTTGTTCAGCAAGAATCCTCTAGCTTCAGTTTAACCTTTCCTCTGTTGTCTTTGGAACATAAATTTATCATCTAATTGCCACTTCCCCACTCCTGGAATGAAGCATCGATCTAGCTGTCCTTGATGCCTGATACTTACAGCTCACCTAGAGGAGCTAGGTCGGCGTTCACTTCACTTTTCGTTTGTTTTTTCCGAACTTTAATAAAGGTAACTTATTTTGTATAATTGTCAAATTATCAGATGTTACGGCAAAAGCGATTTATTCGAATTAGTACAAGCACAACGAGATATCCACTTAGATGAAACAAAATGGCGGAGCTGATATGCAAATTAGTTTCGACGCAAAGCATTGTGGTTACTAGTAGGAATCTTGGCAAAGGAAATATGGTAAATGGGATTCCGGATGGTATTCACTTTTTATATATCTATTCCTTCATTGTTTTCAAAAAATATGAATTGTGATATTATTACATTTTGTATAAAGAATTGCTTTTTAAACTTTCAGTTAATATTGCTTTTACTCCTGTTTTTCCCCTTAAAAAAACAATATTTATACACATTTGAATATTTTATACAAATAAAAACATCGGGAAAAACACAGTTTAAACTATTTCATCATCATTTTTGTCTAAATATCCGCTTTTTCATGTACTTCCGGTTAGGTGCTTCACTACTTCCGGTCAAAATGGCGGCCATATAAGAAATCGGTCCAAAAAACCGGTTTAACAGGAAAAATTGCGATGGTACCATATCACATATTAATCCCCATGTTTTTTCCTATATTTCCTGAAAATTTGGTGCTTTTAACAGAAAGTGAACAATTCGGCCCCAAATCTGCACATATCTGCCCCACTATCAGAAACTGTGGGCCACAAAGACCTGAGATTTGGACAAATTGTTTTTATATTAGTCTTTATAACATTTCATTTTCTTGGCTTCTTCCACTGGACGGTTTCAAATATATTTTTTTGTGCCGTGTTTATTGCGTGACAGTGAAAAGTGTACGTCCTCCATAAAACGTGAAATTAGGCATTTTCACGTCGTAGTCGTGCAGTAACCAGTCCGGAATATCCCTAAATTTAAGGACAGGGCCAACTGGTCATGCGACACTTTTCAACCAATGAGAAGGCGCGCTTGTGTTTATCAACAAACAAATCAAAACATCGCCCCAGTGATCAAACATTTTCAAAACAACGGACGGAGTCGGACAGAATCAGTCATCGTTTCGGGGCTCTCAGGCATATTTTTAAGACTTTTCATGAGGTATACACAATTTTTTTAAGTGGACAGCGTATCGGAAGCCATATTGGAAGTGTCTCGTGAAATATTCAGCACATTTTGTGGCTTATTTCTTCTTTTATCTTTTAAACAACGCGATGTATAGGCGAGATTTTAGTCGGTTTTCAGGGTAGGTGAACAAGTATCTATTATTTTTTCGATTCACAGATTCTTTACGAAGTTCTAGATATTTTTTCTCGATTGTCATATCGATTAACTTTTGTCATGTTGAATGTGGAGATGGTAGACAACCTAGAATTTTGGTAGACAATTTTTGAATTCCGAGGTCCAAAAAACGTACGTTTTCCACTCCCGGGTTTCTCACAGAGCCGTGTTATAACTTTTTTTCGCATTAGCACGAGCCTTTGCCTTTTTTTCTTTTCAAGGCCAAAACAACTTTATTAGTCTTATGGATCTGATGGATATTCACGTCTAACATCTCGCCTCACTTTGCCGAATTTGTAGATACTAACCGCTTTGTTTCTGAAATTCACTAATCTGGAAAGATTTAATGTTGTTGGATTCTCCAAATGTTCATCCACCGTTAAAAAACAATCAAAGAAACAAGGCAAATCTCAATTATAAATGATGTATTTCGCAACTCATTGAACATACAATGATTATCTTGGATAAAATTAAGACATTGCAGGTACTACAGCAAGCAAAGAAAGCACCAGATGCGTGAAGTAAACGCGAAACAACACAAAAAAACAAGCAAGAAAAGTTAATTAATTTGAACTACTTTCTATTCTTGTTATGATGTCTGGTTCTTTGATTCTTGTCCTGTAGAAGTTAATGGGCAGTACAATCCTGTTTTGTACGATCTCAACAAATTTTCACACTCTCTTTAACATGTTTAAGGCTATTTTTACACGGGACCAGTTGGCTTCTATCAAAAATCTTGCAAGCCATGCCAGTGAAACCACGACCTCTGCGATCGGTCCGGAATCAATTCGAACACCCCAATTATTCCTTGCAATGATTAATGCTCTTATTCTATTACATGAAATGTTTTCTTTGAAATATTTGATGTGAAACCTAGACGAGTACTGAAAGCTCATCTTTAATTCTGTCTAACTCCGTCCGTTGTTTTGAAAATTTTTGATCACTGGGGCGATGTTTTGATTTGTTTGTTGATAAACACAAGCGCGCCTTCTCATTGGTTGAAAAGTGTCGCGTGACCAGTTGGCCCTGTCCTTAAATTTAGGGATATTCCGGACTGGTAACGGTTAAGAAATGTGCAAAAAAGCGTGATGCACGTGCAAACTTATTGTTCTGCTCAGTAAACCTATTATATTGCTTTTATGACGTTCTCGTTGCCGTCGCCGTCGTCGTTTCAGAAACTCCTTATTGTTTGATGGCGCGGGTAAAACTGGTACCGAGTATTGCCTGTTTGTTTTTGACTCTTTTGACCGATGACCGCCATTTGACTAAGAAAGCAACGGACAATGAGGTAGGAATATTTTGTGAGGGAATTCTTTCTTTAATTAGCGTATTCTAACATATGAGTAAAAAAATTGTGTCTCATCAACAGCTTATGCATTTACTTCCGTGAAAAATATTTAGCTATGGCTCATGTTAGAAAGTACTTACAAGCACGTAAAAATTCAAATGAAGTAATGGCCCTTTAACATTAAGACAAGCTTATTTTATTGACAAATTACACTTAATTTAGTATTAAAGTGAACAACTTAATTGGTGTCGATCTAATGTTGTCCGAAATCCCACATTTCTGTCAACGATTCGACTGTTTTCCCTACTAATTTTCAACGGTAGTTGATATCAAGTAAGACGAACGAACGTTTAATAGAACTTGGGAAATGATCATAGATGACCATAGAGTCCATAGATCATGCATCGCAGAAGAACGATAGGTTTATTTTAGTAGGTTTCTTGAGATTAACAACAAAAGAAGACTTTTTGACATAACTTTATTGCCAGATATTTTGATATTAGTGAAATCGGCGTAGTGTTTCTCATTGGAAGCTGTTTTCTCCTTAATACATTGAAAACACTTTTTAGGCTGTCCAGTACTTTTAGAGCTCTAGAGATGCATTCTAAGTAGCGCTATAAAATTTGTATCTGTTTAGTCATCCTAGGGCAACTTGAGTCTTTTCAAAATTACAAGGGCTTCAGTTTTGTAATGCCTAAAATTTTAGATTATATAACATATTACAAAAGTGAGAATTTTTCTGATTCCTCTCTCCATCACATTTTTGAATCCAAAATTTTTAGGTTTCCTCTTTTCTACGAAGAATAGCCTAACCTTGGGAGTGAAATACATGAGAAAACAATCTTAAGAAAATCGTAGGGCATTTATTGGATAAAATTTGAAAATTGTACATGAATGGGACAGTCATTAAGAAATTTTTAGCCGTCCTCAAGAAATAGACAATTCTAGGCAATATCTGCTTTTCCGAACAGATATTTTACAGAAAGTAGTCATTGGGTGCCCCTGTTGAAGGTGTTGCTATGATATTACATAATATTACATAAGATGGTGCCGACAAGTTAATCTTTATGCCTTAGGTCCTGTTCGCTATGGCAAGAAATAGAGATTTGGCATTTGCCAAAAATTTGAAAATTCTGAAATAACCAATTTTTTGTTTCGTAACCTTATTCGCGCCTGAAACTGGCAAAGTGTTTCATTGAACCAGAAATGTCAATTAAGGAAACTTTAATTGGTCATATTTGCAAAATAAGATGACCCAACAAATGAATAAATAAAACTAAATTATCCTCTCCCCAAGGGGCTTTACAGATACAGTAGATAAACAAATAAAGAAATGAAACTTTGTTAAAAAACGTCCAATAAAAGAGTACAGTATACAAGCATAAGATAACAGTCATCACAAAATCATTGATAAAAATGTATCTCAAATAAAAAGCCTTAGGTGTGGGTAAAAAAAGAGAGAAAAATGTTCAAAAAATTTATATGGGTAAATTTCTCCTTTTTAAATCTCCTTTGGCCAATAATGGGAAAGGTTCCAGGTAAAAAATTTAATTTACAGTAACTAAATCTTCAACTCAGACAAACGAGCAATGGCACTGGGCAAAAATAACATTGAAGAACATTGAAGCACATTCTCTTGCCCAAAGGACAAGCTGGAATTCAACTTTTTTCCCAGCCTTGCATTATGATTCATAACCTAAACTTTTCTTATAGCTAGCATTAAGTATACTGATGTGCATATTCCATTTCAGCTTTAATGTTGAGTTTGTGTAATGGAGCAGTCCAGACCAACAACGACAGTCACATCAGATTCTTCAGGAGTTGGTCAAGGCGCATCAAATGAGAGATTCCATGATCTACAACAGGTATTTGAAGTGCC